GTGCATGTATGCATACATAAGAATATGTATTACTTCTTTACAATGAATTTGCAGAGTGATTCTATTTAGTCATATGTCCTTTTGATCATTGTACTCTATAGAATTTAGATGCAGAATAGACTTGCAGTTCCTAAAAAGTCAGGAAAAAAGTACATGTACCTTGCACATTAAAAACAAACTGCTTAATAAAACACATTTATTTTAAAGGAAAAATCACTTCCACTGAAAGCTTGTGAAGTCAATAAAACAATTTGCTGAAAAGAAGCTTCATCCCACCCATCTCTACTTTGTCATCATATCGGTAGCACTGCTTTGGGAACATTATTTTATTCACAGAGCAGCTAAACAAAATATATGGTCTCATAATGCTTCCTCTTTATGCCATTAATTTTAGAGCTATATCAATAAACATGAACTATTTCCTGCTAATTATACTTTTATCCTTCAAAAACCTGGAAACTACACCCACCCATCCTTGGTACAATGCTCTAATTTCCAAAAAGTAACAAAGGAGGGGAAAAAACTATTTTTGGAAAACAAAGCTAGATCAATTAGTGTTATCAGTCTTATTTTACATATTTTGTTTTTTCAAAACAGACTGTAATAAAGCTACTTACAGGCTTTCTTTACTAAAATCTATAGCCACGCCCGCCCCCAAGACCCGGGGCAGCTTACACTGAAAGAATAAAAAATCAGAAAAAAGTAATAGAAGTCATCACACAGCTGCAAAACATCATTAGTTATGAAGCAATAGTGGTAGTCCTCGATTTATAACCACAATTGAGCACCAAATTTCTGTTGTTAAGCGAGATAGTTGTTAAATGAGTTTTGCTCTATTTTACAACCTTTCTTGCCACAGTTATTACGTGAATCACTGCAGTTAAGTTAGTAACATGATTGTTAAGTGAATCTGGATTCCCCATTGACTCTGCTTGTCTGAAGGTCGCAAAAGGTGATTACAGGATCCTGGGACACTGCAACTGTCATAAATATGAGTCAGTTGCTGAATTTTTATCACCTGACCATGGGGATGCACCAATGATCATAAGTGTGAAAAACGGTTATAAGTCACTTTTTTTCAGTGCCATTGTAACTTCAAACAATCATTAAACCAACTATTTAAGTCAAGGACTACCTGTATTGAAACATTACTTTAAAAAACAGTAACAAACCAAACCACGTCATGGCTGTAAATTTTCAAATACATGGCTAAAGAACGACGAGTTTGTGGCCTTCTTAAATGATTGGCATGTAGGAGATACACACATTTCAGGGAACAATGTATTCCATATGTTGAGGCCGCTACAGAAATGGCTTGCTCCCCATCCCACCACCAATGGGTGGCCCAGCATCCCCTCCTTTGCCAATTAACAGGATGGTGGATGCCTTCCAAGATGGCTCCTCAGGTAACCCAGCGTGAAAAGCCAATTCTATAATGTCTGTTTGTATCTGACAATAAGTTTTTTATTTGTGCATTTAATATTTTTGAAGGGAAATGCCACTCTGAAAGAAGTCACATAACAATGCGCACAAAGTGCTTAAACAATTGTGAAAAGAAAAACTTTTATCAAATTTAAGACAGAAGTGAATACATTCAAAAGTAGACATTTCTAAATTCCTGTCCTTCTCTTTGTGTTACAGTTTACTCTGTGCACAGGAGTTCCCACCTATTCCCTGCCCTTAAATGTTTCCGCAGGAAAAGAAGTGCCTTATGTTACTGTGTTAAGACCACCCATAGTGACCTCCAGGATCAGACAAAGACACAAAGCAACTGAAGGAACATTTCAGAATTGAAAAGACAAAAAGAAGTTGCATAGGGCCTCACAAAGACTCTCACAATAGTCCCATAAGCCCCATAAGCGACATAGCCCCTTATCCTTCCTAAATAGATATGCAAAGATAACACAATTGAATAGTGAGAAAACAATTCAGTTTTTCAAGTTTAGCACCCTGAAGGTGTAACAATTACACTAAAGCTTGCATTAAATGCAGGATTAAAATATACAAAAATATAGAATAAAAAGAATAGAAACTGTTGTTTTCATCAACATGTTTGGGATATCAATAAAGAGTTGGATAACCACAGAAAAGAACACCAACCTTTCACAAGCAACATAACTGAGGCGGGGGGGGGGGAGTGATGAAAAATACATAGCCATTGGGGACATATGTTATAGTATTAGTCTGTATGGTTAGGATGAAAATATTTTAAAAGTTTAAAAATCTTTACATTAAATTAAATGTAAAAAAATCACAGATGTTTTTTCTAGGACTAAAATAAAAAATATTCATTTTTCAAATATGTATATGATAAGATGACCAGGATGAGTTTGAGGGAAGGGTCAAGCACATCATCAATCTTGAGTTCCTTCACATCCACAAGAGGTCTAAGTCCAGTCTACCCTTCCTTCCGTTAACCCTTATCTACCGCCAATTTGCTTTGACTGCTAAGTAGTTTAGTAGTTCAGATTCTTCTAGAGAGTGTTAGCATGCAATAAACCTGTCATAAAGTGTCATTTGAATCCCTCTGGCTCCTGATTTCTTATGCTTAACATATATAATTCTATTAATCAAACCATTGTGCTCCTATAGTCAATTTAAGCAGTACTTTAGAGCAGGGGTTCTGGGAGACATATGGACCCACAGGGACCCTAGGATCTTTCAACAGGGGCATAGTGAAAAGCATGTAATTGGTGGGTGGGTGTGGCATGGCATGTGCTGATGGGACTGCAGAAAATCAAAGTATATTATGCTATCCTCCTGATGCCAGAAAATGCACGAATTGTTGTTCTTCATCCATATCTAAGACATGGAACCAAATGTCATTGCCAGCCTATTTGCCTGGCAGATGGAGTAAGCCCTCATTGAACTGCTAATTAACAAGAGACAGTACTGCATTATTAAAATTATTGTAAGTATAAATACAAATCTTATTTATGTATTAATTATAAAAATATCAAATTGCAACAAATCAGAAATAGTTAGGAAAAACATGTATGGCATTTTACTCCTTATAAATGTGATCAATTACCAGTTTGACCAGTATGATCAAAATGCTGATTATCACATAACTTCTTACTACACAGAACCAGACTATGTCAGGTATTATCTTCCCAAGGTTTCTGATTTATTGACTGATTCAGTTTATATTCACGCAACTCGTAAAAGCAACTCTGGGTGGTTAAATTCAAATTAAAACAAGAAACAGAACACCCAAAGATGCTTTTTCACAAGGCAACTGGATTTTCTTGTTTTTCTTTGAAGACTTTTAGTTTCTCATCCAAGAAGCTTCTTCAGCTCTTCAGCTCAGTTCAGAAACAGAACATCAAACCAAAATCTTAAAAAAGCACACACACATCACATCTGAGGCCATTCATACATCTGTTTATTTGTTCCCTAAAAAAAGGCCACATAATGCCTTGGCCCAATGCCATCCAATGAGAACACTGAAAAAAGATCTTCTGAGAGATCCACTCCACTTGAGGTCAAGAAGGACATGTTCAAGGCATCAGCCATTTTCTGTTCTGACTGCCATGCTTTAAATGTCCTTTCGTCAGAGGTTCATGAAATCCCCTCCCTCTTGGCTTTCCATAAAGCCATTAAAATAATTTATTTTTTTCAGCCTTCTGCCAAAATGTTTACAGTGGACATGTAGGAAGGGGGAGAGAGAAGTAGGGGAGCTTATTAATTGTGCAGGGTATTTACTTTGTCATGCATTGCCCAGAAAGTGTGGATACAGGCCACGAAACCTGTAAAATAAAATCATGAGCAAAATGGATTTTGATATAGAATAGGATAAATGTTAGGATCTGACTGGACAATAAAGCAGCAGCAATGATGGTCTAGTCCAGGGGTAGGCAACCTTGGCTCTTTTATGACTCGTGGACTTCAACTCCCAGAATTCCTGAGCCAGCATGGAATTCTGGGAGTTGAAGTCCATGAGTCATAAAAGAGCCAAGGTTGCCTACCTGCTCTAGTCCATAACTGCCTAGATTGAGGAAAAATAGCCTTTTACAACTAGGGTGATATTTGATATCAGGCAGGCAAAGCATTAATTTGTGATATTACTGAAGTATGTAAGCATAGGATTTCTGGACATAGAAGGTTTGGGAAAGCATGTTAAGCCTAGCCTAAAGCTTATATAGTTGGAAATATAAAGATAAGAAACTATGTCTCCATTATGGGGAAGCTTTGTCCCGAGATTTGGAAAGCCAGTTTTAAGAGCTTCTGGAGACTCCTCTTGCTATCACTATTGTTGAAATCAACGGAAGCAGCTGCCAACCTTCCATTGTGCTGAAACTCAATCATATGACTTGCTGAGTAATCTGCTGAATTTTGTATCTGTTTTTGGTAATCATTCTCCTTCATAGTCTCTGAATTACTCTTCTTTTTGCACTCTATCTTTTAGCCCATATATAAAGAATATCTCATTACTGATGCCATTCTAGAAATCTTATGCAAACTGGAAGAGTGGGGTAAATAAAAAAAATCCCTGCTTAGATCAGAATGTTTTTGAATAAATTTACTGAACTTAGCTACATTTGGAATACTGTGAGATTTCTCCTCCTCCGATCATAAAAACCTCTGGGAAAGATGCAGAAAAGGGAACCAAAATCATGGATTTGGAATGTTTCAAGTGAGAAAAATGTTTAAAGTTTTGTGCATGCGCACATGTGCACACACAAACATACACATGAAAGAAACACCTCTAATCAGACAGCAGGTATATGATAGAGTTCATAAAATGAAGTGTGGTATGGAAAGATTATCTACATTTCTCCCAAAAGACTAAATTTCATGGCTATGCAATTGAAATGATTCGAAAGAGATTCAATGGAATCAAAACAAAGTAATTTTCATACAGCCCAAAATTGATAAGACTATATAATCACAACATTAACTGGTAGCTACTACTTTACAAACTTTAAGAGTATATAACTCAGGAAGGGACAGTCTAGTACAGGTTATTAGTAAGGATTATAAGGAGTTGGTATATCTACATGTCATGAGAATGCCTTGATGAAGACAAGGGCAGAAGGCCTCTATTTCTTTAATGTTCTTTTTGTGGGCTTCCCAAGGGCATCTTGCTAATCGCAGTAGGAAGCAGGAGGCTGGACTAAATGGACCCTCGGTCTGTTCCAGGAGAGCTTTTATGAAGTTCTTACGATTTCCACTAAGATAGTCTATGAAATCAATACACAGGAAATGATGAAAGAAAATGGAAAGTATCATATTTTACACAGAGAGAGAAAGAATGGCAATAAAAGACATAATCTAGCACATAGTTACACATGGATAAATCTTATAGAAATCATATGAGGAATTAACCCTTGTAAAATGTAAAAGCTTAGATTCAGAAAAACCAAGCCATTCACATTAAAATGCTTCAATATTCCTCTCTAGGGCTGTTTTTTTATAATAGGTTCCAGCAGGCTATTAAGCTAAGATGGAAAGTATGCAGGTAGTCCTAGACTTACAACCACAGTTGGGACCAGAATTTCTGTTGTTAAGGAAGATGGTTGTTAAGCAAGATAGTTAAGTGAACTGTGCCTGATTTTACAACTTTTTGCCATGGTTAAACAAATCACTAAGTGAATTACACAGTTATTAAATGAATCCAGCTTCCCCCTTTGACTTGCTTGTCGGACGCTGGCTGGTAAGGTTGAAAACGGTGATCATATGACCTAGGATGCTACAACCATCATAAATACATGCCAGGTGCCAAGCGTCTGTATTTTGGTCATGTGATTCTGGGGACGCTGCAAGGGTTGAAAGTGCAAGGACTGGTCATAAGTCACTTTTTTCAGTGTCATTATAACTTTGAACAGTCACTTAAACAGATGTAAATTGAGGACTACTTGTAAGTGTTCACAAAACAGAAGATTTAAATCTTAAATAATACTCTGACAAGAATCAGGTTTGTTCTTAGTCCACTACAGCCAATACATATGAATTAAAATGCTGTATCTGTATAGTCCAAGAAGAACGCTACTGCCAGGGAAAAGAGAACTTAAAACTAAAATCTAAATAAATAAATAAAATAAAATCTAAAATACACTGTCACATTTTATTTTCTTAATTTAGATGAAGACATTTTCTGGCTGAATAAAAAGACTGGCTAAAATCTATGGAAATGCCCTTTAAAATTAATTAATAAATGACAGTAAATCAATGAGACAAGACACAGAAACCATACAATGGATAGAGGGTGCCCCAGCAGCTAAGCAGGGAATGTTCCAAGTCAATGGCTGATGAGACATCACCTAAAAAAACCAAGAATTTAAGGAATACAAACCAGCATTCAAACATTTCAGCTGAGCACAGAATTTTCTTGTAGTTCCCTATCCAAAAGAAAGTTCACTTAAGAAGGAAAACATTTTCAGTCACTAATGATCATGATATTGCTGCATCAATGTTTCACAGAAATAAATTATACCACATGCTCGAAAGGAGGAGGAAGAAGTTCTGGCATTAGAGTGACACAATTACCCAATCCAGCAATTTTAGTGATAGCACAATCACTAAATTTGCCAGTATCTGAAACTGGCAAAAAGACAAGTGGTTTAAAAACCTTTATCAATGGCCAAAGATGATAACAATAAATAAAACTCTAGGTTTGATGAAAAAATATCAAAGCTTGGCACTCTATCTTTGGCATATGCTCTCTCTATATACAGACTGATAAACATATACTGTATATGTATATATACAGAGCCAATAGCAAAAAAGGAGTTTAGGCTTTTATTCACCACCTGGTACCATTTCCACTACATAAACAAGGGAAAAATAATTTAAATAACTTCTATCAGTCTGCCACTGGCAGTCAATCTCTTTTCTGGTTTTTAACTGTGTATGTCCATATTTAGTACAAAATGCTTTCAAAAATCTAATGCATAACGGGTAGTAGGCAAACCATGTGATTTGTCAGAACACTCATGACTTGCATATTCTCTTACTGAACAATAAATAACAATCCTAAACTGATGAACTTGTTACTTCCTAAGACAGCGATGGTGAACCTTTTAGAGACTGAGTGCCCAAACTGCAACCCAAAACCCACTTATGCATCATCGAGTGCCGGGTGGGTGTGGCCCATTGGGTGGGTGTGGCCAATTGGGTAGGCATGGCCCATTGGGTGGGCGTGGCTGTGGTGGTAACGGCAGACTGGGTGGGACTAAAAAGTTCAATCAATCAATTCCAACTTTGCAAGATCTTTTTTTTCCTGTGAGAAGTTGAAATTGACTGATTGAACCTTTTTTTTTTTTTTTTTGCACATGGTGGCGGAGGCCTAAAGCGAAAAGGTTTTATAAAACCCAGCTGAAGGCCTAGGACTGGGGCGATGGTGTACGTGCCCACAGAGAGGGCTCTGAGTGCCGCCTCTGGCACCCGTGCCATAGGTTCGCCACCACTGTCCTAAGAGTTAGCAAGATGTTGAGGCAGGGCAGGAGGTGCAGAGAAGGCAACTTCTCTTCTTCTTTCAATGTACTTTTAGGTTTTTTCATCCCACAAATGTGTTTCAGCCCTTCCAGTCAAATACTCAAAGGTACAACTTAGTCTGGTTATTGGCTCATAAAATTAATAGAATGATATTTGTGCAGTTACTGACATCCGAAACAGAATCATGGTAGCACCAGTGGGTGGATGCCAGCAAACCTCAGACTGTGACTCATCCCAAATCGACCAATCAGCACTGCTTTTTATCTTCCTTCCCTCAGATCATTGTTTGAGAAGTGAAGAGATGGCTCAGCCAGAAGCCCCCAAAGAAAACAGAAGCTAGTGCTTTATTCTGACTCTCCACATAATCAATTTGTCTGCTGTGAACACAACAGAATGACTTGTGTGAGGTAGAAGCAGAAAAGTGCTGTGCTGCCATACTATGGGAGCATGGTAAATTATCTCCAAAAGGAATGGAATTGAAGACAAATTCTTACCAAGCTATGGAAAGTATTCTCTATTAAACTCACATTAGGGAAATGGAAGTAGATTGATGGATAAGTGCCCAAAGTGGCAATTAGTGACAAATGGGATATGGAAAAAGAGCATCAGAAATCACCAATCATGATCTTCCAAGAACCTCTAATCAAGATGGATGACGATGCTTCTGTGTGGGATCATGGCAGGATTGATTTAAAGATTAGAAAAGAACTTTGGTGGTGCAGCATACTACATATACTAGCACAGCTTTTCAATTAGCATTTGCCAAAGTATGGGATTTTTCTGCCTAACAAGTTCTGGTTTTAACAATCCAAATCCTTAGTAGAAATCTTGCACATCAGTTCCAAGAGTACAATTCAATGCAAATAAGACTTGGGAGGAAGTCTCCTGCAAATTAGTGAGGTGCATTTCTAAATATACATAAATATAACGGGGTGACAAGATTCCTAAAAAGCACTGTATTCTGGCAAAGACAGATTTGAAAAATGAAGGTTCCTATGTTATTAACTATTTTTCAACTTAGACTGAGTTCTTTTCCTACCGGTAGGAAATAGAGAATAATACCCTTAAAAGAGCAGACTGCACCCATTATACAAATAAGAAAATACAATTTAAATAGACAACTCTCTAATGTCTATTATCACATTTGCCTAAAGCAGCGGTTCTCAACCTGTGGGTCGCGACCCCTTTGGGGGTCGAACGGCCCTTTCACAGGGGTCGCCTAAGACCATCGGAAAACACATATTTCCGATGGTCTTAGGAACCGAGACACTGCTCCTCTATCCGTCTCCGCACGGCTTCGAACTGGGGGCCGTTGCAGCACCGGATTCGTTTCCGTCGAGCATCTCCTAAGGGAGGCTGTGCTGCTTCGCGGCCCTTTCCGCGGAGGGGGCTGAACTAAGCTCTGCCGGTGCTGTCACCCTCTTGGCTCTCTCTCTCTCTCTCCCTCTCCCCACCTGGGCGCTTCTCCAACCAGGCTGGGCGGAGCCGGCAGAGTGGCCTTCCTGCCCCCCCTCCCCGGCCAGCTGGAGCCGGGCAGGCCGGCGACCTTCGGAAGTGAGGCGAGAACAGGCGAGGCACGCTGAGCCCCGGGCGCGGCGGGTGATTGGGCGGCGTCAGTGCACGCTTGGAGAGCCCTTAGGGTTGGGGGTCACCACAACATGAGGAACTGTATTAAAGGGTTGCGGCATTAGGAAGGTTGAGAACCACTGGCCTAAAGGAAGATGACCCAGACATTTAAAAGGATTGTCCCAAAAAACAGGCAGAAAATAAATACAAACAAAAATTCTGTACAGTATTCAACATTTCTATCTTGTCAACACTAGGTTGTCAACTCTAGTTGCAACCAACCCTACAAATTTCTACATCTCTATCAAGAGTAAGAAACAGAAAGGGAGATAAGGAGAGAGGGGGAGAGAGGAAGAGAGATATATAGAGAGATTCTTATATATATGATATATACTTGCAAATGCTTCTACTAGATGCCATACTTCAAAAAAGACTTATCCAGCTAGGACAAAAAAGTAAATTTATATTAACTGACAATCTACAGATACATAAACAGAGTCCTCCCTCCTACAAATAGAACCAACAGAAAAGAAAAAAGTAGCTTGTATGGAGAAGAGAAAACAAGAGAGGAAAGGGAGAACAAAACTAGATGGAGATAAGACAAAGGAAAAATGGATGGAGAAGAAAAGAAAGCCCCTTCTTTGACATCATAAAGGATTAAACATTCACTAGACAAAAGACCATCCCAAGCAGTAGTTATGCTTCAGATTAACTTTCAAAGACATTTAGATTTACAACAAAACTTGCTAATTCTTTTGTTCTCAACTGCTTATTCTATTCTTATCAAGGACACACATCCCTGCTATTTGTTTCAAGGAAAAAAAGTCTATTTCCCATCTATAAATAAAAGAAAGTTTCTTTCCATTCTTTCAGTGTTGTGATACAATGATAATTAAAGTAGTTTTCCACAAAGTAGATGTAACATGGTAAAAATATTTTAATTTAATATATAGATAGCATATTGAAAAGCTAAGAGTTTACATTCTTCAGTAAATTGCACTAGCAGTTCCACAGATATCATGCCTGAATGAACCACCCCCATTTCAACATAATCACTGTGAAGGCAAAGTTAGGGTAAAATAAAAGACTTTTCAGAAATAACTTGACAATGGTGGTAAGAAGTGAAATCCTTCACCAACATGTGCTCTTCAGGTATTTTGCATGAAATATCTAATTACAAACATAGACCTGTAGTTTAACACAACCAGAATGTTACTGCAAAAAAGCCACAGAAAAAGCACAAGTATCAATAGAGAAGAGTAACTATTTTATAATAAATCACTATGCCAAATAGCATCTGTCTTCACAAAGACAATAAGCCAAATCTATGTAATCTGGAAAAAAGTCACAAAACAAACTTTAATATGATGTAGTAGCTTTAATATCTAAACTTTAAATTATCTAGCCCAGGGCCATCATATAGAGAACATTATGAAACTTCACTTTAAAAGGGGGCTATGAATTCTATCCATCAAAAAATAAATTAACAGACTGAAAATTGTTTTCCCCATTTCTCTCAACTACACCTTCCTTCCCCATTTATTACTCTGATATCCAAGTTCTGTTGTAGAGGGAGAAGTTATATCTGTACAGCATTAAAAGGTTATTACCATGCTGATAAATATTTAAAAACTTGATATGGAGAAGGAAAAGAGTGACATGCCATTTTTCAAAACTAGTCTGCTGTATCTGGTCTCTAGAGCTTATCATTTTTAAAATGGATTATCTAACTGAAGGATCGGTAGACTAGAAAAGCAAAGAGGATCAACTGCCTTACTAGCTAGTACAATTACAGCAGAGATCCCCAACCTTTTGGGCACCAGGGACCGGTGCCATGGAGAAAGTTTTTTCCACAGACCAGAAGGGTGTGTGGTTTTGAATACTGCCTGCATCCCGAGGATGGAGCTTTGCTTATTTGTGCGGCCTGCTTGCTGGCATGATGCGGACCGGTGCTGGACCAGGGGTTGGGGTTGCATTACAGGGTACATTGTATTCTTACAGGACCTTCATAAGCAGCATCTAGAAAAAAAAGAATGTTGTTAAAGCTATCCACCACTCTAACCCTTTGCCTTAATTCCTCCCTTTATAAATATTTGGTGGCTGTTAGATTTTCTCAGTGCAGATTTCTGGACATCAGCTAATTTCAGCTAGGCCTATAATCAGGAACATTTGTTTCTTCCTTGCCCCATTTCCACCCAACAACTTGAGGTCTTCAGCTAGCAAACATGTTAGACTGTTCCCTACAGCAGCATCTTGTGCATGAGATTATTTGGTCACCTAAATTAATACTTCATTAACTTTTACAACTATATTTTACAGAAAATAATCTGAAGGTTATATAATTTACTTTCCATAATACACTTTGACAAACTTCCATTATCTATTCATTGCTTGCAATCAAAATTCTTGAATGAAAAACATTTTTATTCTAGGGGCTTTCCCATTTGTCCTTGGATTTTCATTTCTTATGGTCAACATTTCACAGCCAAAGATTCCAACACGAAGATGGCTGGAGAAATTTGTACAAGAATCAATTTTCA